AGGTAACTTTTGCTTTCAATAGTTTCTTCTTGTGCAAATGCTGCAAAGCTGCGTGTCTGACAGTCAGTCTCCCACATCTGCGACTCAGCACCTGTGTCTTACCTTAATACCTTTCCTGTGATAATGCCCCTCTAGAAGTAGTGTTATCATTCTTCTATCTCCTATTAGGTCAGATCACATTGTACGATGTATTACTAATATGAAACATTTCACATGAAAAACTTACTGATATACTATTCTCACTAAACTGTGATAACTGTGATTAAATTCAGTGTAATCAAATGCCATATGTTGCCACCCCTCAAAAATCCCTGCCCCCCTCTCGCCACCCCATAAATATTTTTCTAGATCTGCCCCTGTTTGGAGGTCAAGTTTCTCACAGCGTATGCCTGATGCTATGCAGGTATGCTCTGTTGTTATAGACGTGTTTCAGGAAAAAGTATGTGATATCGACTCCTGTCTGTCTCCCACGTGCTACGTTCAAGATGAGGTTGTTTATCTGTAAATTTTGATGATGTAGACGTGTCTAGTGTAAACGCGGCAACACACCTACAGCCTCCCCCTTACAGATTAAAGACATTCCTGTTTTAGTCAATGGTTTACTTTACATGACTGAGACATTCTTGAAATATCTGACACAGTTGACTGGGAATAATGTTTCTGCCTTAAGCAGAGGAAGAGGCTGATTTTATTAAAAGTGTTAATAATTTTCATAAGGTGCAGCAAGGCTGCACCTTATGGAAATTATTAATAAATTAATTGCAAATTGGAAAATGTGTAACAGACGTGTTCATACGCATTTTATTTAGGGCTGCAACTAACTATTTACTAATTATTTTGCTTATCAATTAATCTGTTGATAGTTTTTTCCATTATTTGATCAAAAAAAAGGTTAGAAAAAATGTTCCTTAATTAAGATTTTTTTTACAGAATTAAACCAGGTCAATCTAAAACTTTTCCAATTGAGTGGTTCTGGATAGAGCAGATTGACGGACGAAAATTTTTTTTTTTTGCATAAAACGACAGACGAAAATGGGTTTTTTATGTTAAATGTATAATATTTATATATATTTTTTTAAATTTTGGTACAATTACTGCTCTATGTGAGTTTCTCTGTCAGCTAAAGGCATGAATTACAGTCTCTATACGCCAGTTGACGATTGATTGCTAAATTAGGTAACAAGTAATTCAATAATCGATTAATCCGATTAATCGTTTCAGCCCTAATTTTATTTTTTTTTTAAATTGAATAAACAATTTAAAATGTTTTAGTTTTTATCTGTATTTTTATCTTAAGTAGGTCATGTTTTTATCAAATGAAGCTTTAGAGTCTGTGTGACTTTACTTTCACTAACGACTCAATTACGTTGATGATTATTTAAATCACTGAGAATCACAATGAATCATTTTAACAGGTTTTTTTTTTATGTGCTCTTAACTTTTCGCTCCATAGATTTATGTATGCGTGCAGATGAGCTTCTACAAGTGATTTCATAGTTTAGCCTCTGGAGTTTATCTGTAAAACGATGAGAAAAGATACTTTTAAAATCCTAATGTTTATTTTATTTTTAGTTAAATGATTCATTCATATTCAAGATATTTTGAAATCACATCCTTCAAAGATGGATGTCTCTGACCTAATGGTGAAACCATCTTTGGTGAGATTTCAAAGACAATGAGACTCATTGGTCTTTCTAGCTAATTTCTGGGTACGCAGAAAAAAAAGATTTGATATCAATGAACAATCCTCTACTGCCACCTAGTGACAACCTAGCAAACATCAATATATTTTTTTCCAGGTGGAAAAGTAAAATAATGGAAATAATCTTAAAATAACCAACAGCTTTCCCAGTGAGAAGGTAAAAAACACTGAAGTAAAATATACAGAAACAGAATTTAAGGCACAAAACACTGAATCATGATAAATTGGTCAAATACTAAAATCGTGACAACTTTTTTGGACTTTATCAACACATTGCCTGTTTCAATTTAAGTGAAAATTTTTGCTTTTAACTTAACATTATTTTTAAATGAAAAATCTTGCCATCACCCTAATCTTTTGCTCTCTCTGCCAGATTTGGTTTTCTTCTTCTATGTGCTGAGCTGCTAAAGAGTGTTGAATTACAATTTAAAGATTATTTTAAACCTATTTCCATCAGGAGCATAAATCACTTTGCAGCAGATAATTTTCTTCCTTAAAAAGAAAGTAAACTGCTACAAAGCACAAAATTAAGAATTTTATTTCTTTATTTCTGTCATATATGATTAAGGCTTAATTTTTTATTTTAATTTTTTTTGGTACCATGTGAGACATTTTTATTGTCATTATAATGTCACAAATACAGGGCAACAAATTTCCCTTTCTGCATTTAAAAACCGAAGCTCAACCCGATTTTTATTTGACGTGAATTTGTTGCAGTTCAGCAAATGTCCAGAACGGGTCTGGTTTGGACACCAGTTGATTCATCTGCTTTTTGCAGATGATGTGGTTCCATTGGCTCCCTATAATAAGAGCTAGAGTGGCTTGCATGGGACAGATACTGCGCTTTAAATGAGTAAAATATGTAGTGAATTTTATTCCATTTTTTTAGCAAGCAAAAAACACATTTTATATTTTTTTTATTAACCAAAATAAAACAGAAAAAACCTCTTCATAGTAACTTTCTTTTCTCAGATGTTATTTTTTTCTAATTTTATTTTATCAGAATAATTTTTTCCCCCAAATTTCAATTCACAAAAAGTGGTTTTGGCTGCGACTGTAATGGAACAAAATTCCCTTCAAAATTAACTCAGAAGAGCAGGAAGCAGATTTAAAGGTTACTGTCTGTCATGTTGCCTTAATGCAAAACGGTGCATTAAAACAAAAGCCTTTCTTACTTTCTAATGATGAAACCAAATCCAACTTGAAAATGTAGTTAAATAAAAAAAAACAGGTTGATGATGAAAAACCAAAGAAAGCTCACAGATAAAAAGCAATCTTGTGAGTTTGCTGGGTGACGTGTGAAAAATGCTCACGGTTCAAACGTAAAGTAGCAGATATTTTTTCAGTCCACCGCTTTGACTCTTTAAATTTGTTTGTGTTCCCAAATAGAAACCCGGCACTGCACATCAAAGTCAGCAAGACTGAGAAAACACCTCAAGGTGTGCATCACACAAAGGAGTTTTAATACTTACTGCCCCCTCGCACTGCAAAGCCGGCCAGTATGCAGACAGTTAGTCACAGTTTAAAGCAGGTAAACACAGACAGCTTTTATTTAAACGAGTAAAGACCAAAGCGAGCGAGTCGAGGCTTACCGCTGCCTTGGCCTCGGCCGCCTTCGCCCTCTTCACGCGTGTTTTGCAGGCATCCAGGTCCAGGCGAAGATTCTCCAGCAGACGACGCTCCCTCTGCACAGAAACATGGCAAAGCAAACATATTTACACCCTTTCAGTTTCTTCAGCTTTTATTTCCTCACTGCAATGTTGCAGATCACCCAAAAAAATAAGCTTGGGTAATAATAAACACAACTGTTAAAAAAAAAGTCCGGTCATATACAGAATTCAAACTTCTACTAAAGTACTTTAAATATGAAATTATTATACAATACATATTAAACCACATTTTAATTAAGAGTAATTTTCATTTGAAATGTTCTTTACTGGAGGCATCCATGTTTGTCAAAGAACACTACTGCCACCTACTGGTTAGTGACGTCACGGTGCGGTATCGGCTGTTGATCAAGTCCCAGTGCTGTATCTGGTGTTTGTCACAACGCGCTATTATGTATATATATTATATTATTAAGTCATCTTGAAAACATTCTTCTTCGAAATCTTGGCTGCTACATATTACGTGTTTTTTCTCTGACCAGAAGTTCGATGGCAAATCCTCCCTTTTCAAGTTGGCAATCCAACGATCAACCCGTACGTGGAGGATTAGGAATCAGAAAGGTGAAATAACTTTTATTTTTTTTACTATTACCCGATGTATTTCAACATCCACAAGGCTTGATGTTAACCATCGCCCGATAGCCCCCTGGCAAGTAGTTTTTATTGTTGGGAGAGTACAAATTTCATTGTATTTGGCCGCCAAGCAAGTGCAATGATCGCAAAAAAAATTTATTTATCACTCAAAATTACTTTAAAATCTGCACCATTTTTGTTGTTTTGTACACATTCTGGCCTGATTTGAAAAAGCCGCGTGATTTTCCGCTAGATGGCGTGATTCAGCTCTTGGGGAGAGAATTCTGCAGAGCAGCAGCTGGATGATGAATTTAATCTATACTATAATACACGCTAGATTAAATATGATCAGTCAGGGATTAGGAAAATAATAATAATAATTGTAGCGCACAGTGTAAATATTTCTATCATATGGCAGTCTTCTGTACAGTGGTCATACATTAAAAAATGTTGTTTACAGTTTTTTCTCTTAGACATTGGAGTGGTGGATTTAAATGTTATAGAACTAAACATGTTAAATTGGTGAGTAGTAGTAGTGTAAGTTTTTAACCTGTCAAGTTTTATTTTTTATTTTTAACATTACAATTTATATTTTTCCAAGCACACAACAGTTTAAAGCAAAGTTTAGTTTGAAAAGAATGTGCAGGAAGGATTGAAAGGCATGTTAACACGGTAATGTAGGCTTGATTTCATTATCTGACGCATGCAGATACACACCAGGAACCTGGAAACTTAAAAAATACTGAATTACAAAAAACATTTAAAAAACAAACATGTTTCATTGATATATATACAAAAATGAATATTAGGAACTATATTTATCAGACATTATACTGGGCAAGTAAAAATTGTTTCTGGGCAAATGAAATGTGAAAGTCACTTGCCCATAGGGCAAAAATCCTTAACGTCAACCCCTGATCCAGCTGCCATGCACCTGGGCATTGTCAGTTTAACTATAGCTCCGGTGAATTTCAGTGGTGAAGTTCTCTGGAAATCTTCAACAATAGCTGTTGATTGCGGATGTGTCTGGTGGTTCCCATTGATTTTTTTTTGTAAGAATGGCGAATGGAAAATGGCGCTAGGCTTACCGCACAGTGACGTCACTGCGGGAAGATTTCAGGAGGGAGGTGTTACTATATTTGGGCAAAAATTGCTGCTCCCAGACTCAGTAATTGTGGCAAAAATTATTGTTTTTATTTTTTTACTGATTAACGCTAAATTTATTAAATCACCACAAACGTATTAGTTTTAGGTATAAATAATGACCAAACTTTTTATTTAAAAGAAGATTTAATCGATTAAGGGTAAAAAAAAAACTACAACCTGTTGCAGAATTTTTTTCAACTAATCCACAAGGGGAAGGTTCTGAGTTCACCGGGGGAACTACCTCTAAGGTAGCCTCGTGAGACCATCCTGATCTCGCGAGCTTTCAAGATTTCCCTCGCTAATCAGCCTGGAGACTCTCCGTTGGGAGCCGTTCACCAAACGAACGTCCAATCAGCGTTGGCTTTGAGGCGGGTTGAGGTGCGACGCAACGAGAAGTGCGACAGTTCAGTCTAAAGAACATGGCGGCTTCAGCCGATGAAACTAGCATTAGCGTGGCTATCGAGCAAGATTTATCGGAATTACAGAGTATTTCTTCACTGAAAGAAGAGCAAAACACTGCTCTGGACGCTTTTCTCAGAGGAAAAGATGTTTTTGCTCTTCTCCCGACTGGTTTCGGCAACAGTTTGATCTATCAATTGGCTCCTCTTCGTCATCGCTCTGTTACGTCATATGCTTCGTTGATCTGATTGGTTTATTTGGCCCGTCTATCAGTAACATAGGCCAATCAGCTAACCAGTATTTTCGCCCCTTCCCAAAATTACTTCTACGGAAGGTTTCCAGATGGATATGCGGAGCAAATCCATCTGGTGGAGTCAGGTTACCTCTAAGGTTTAGTAGAAATGTAAAGCTGATGCTTAAAGATTTTCCAGGTTTACTCCTGGAATAAAATAACAGGCATGATGAAAATAGTTCCTGATGTCATCACACTCACTGAAATAGTTCGCCAGTCTCCTTCCAGAAAGTTCCTGAGAGGAGTAAGAAAGCTGATGGCTGAGGTGTGTATGAACTCTCTCTCTACTGCTCCTAATCTCCTCTCACAGTCCCCGACCTTCATCAAAGTGCTCCCTGCAACGACAAAACCACAAACACTCATCCTAGATCATGTCTTTCAAAGGATGTTAACGTCATAAGGGCTCATTTACCATTTCATTTCATTTTTTTTCTGCTTCGGGTTTTATCTTAGACTTAGACTTTATTGTCATTTTGTACACACAGAGTGAAAATAGAAAGAAATGTCGTTCATTTCGTTCAAATGTCGTTTTATCACCAGTTGTTAAGATGTTCCCTCTATTTTAAATAAACTAGGGAATTGGGTATAAAAATGTAGATTTAAAATCCCCTTTTCTCGAGACAAAACCATTAAATATTTCAGACAAAATAAATTTTTTTGGTAAAACTTTAGTCTCACTGACAAGAAAAAAAGTGAATGTATAAAATCTCAAAGTGAGAGTAGTGAGTTCCTATGGGGAAGGAATTGTGCTGCCACTATACTGGAGCGACTCCCTATGCATTAAAACTGTATTTCTGAAATAAATGAAAGAAATGACTCAAAGAAAAAGGAGAAAAAAACAAAAATCATGATTCAGGACACACTGATAAGGCGTTTAATGGTCCATACTGAATTTTTCACCAGAAATCAAACTAAATGTAAAGAATGTGCTTTTTACTAATGCAGATGGACATAGAAATAATTTTCCTTCATTCAGTTTTATTTTCCAACAAGTAACAACAGATTTTGGTGTAATTTTTCTGATTAAATAAATAAATAAAAAAACAGGGGATATTTTTAATCTAATAGTTTATTCACTGAATAAACTGGATGTAACCACATCAGTCTGGCACCTCCTACTGGTAGGCAGCCTCGTCACGCTGTGGGATTGATTGAAACTAATTAGTCTGAAAAGGTACGAAAAGTCCCGCCTCAATCTGACCGATGAGATTCTATGAAGAGCAGACATCTATGATGACATGAGGACAGAATTTGGGCTCAAAGGACGAAACATTTAGGATTGCAACTAGTAGCAGAATTTTCCCTTGATATCTCTCTGCATTTTTCTAAAGATGGGGATGCTGCTCGAGTCCAGCAGACTTCCTCCATCAGTGACGCAGGGATTGGAAAGTCTTTCAGGGCCACAATCAAAACACTATACTTTCCCTACAGATGTGCAACAATAAACTACTGCCATGAAGCATAGGTACAAAGAAAATAAAGGAAAATAAACAAAAAGAAGATTTCTTTTAGCCAAGTTCATATGCATTTCTAAGCACATTACTCTGGTCTACAAAAGCTCACCAATCCAAAGAAACAGCCTACAGAGCATATCCTTGCAAAACAAGTAGAAAAAAAGCAGCCACTTCCTTCTAGTTGGACAGCTTTGTGTAAAAAAGAAACAGAGATACTAAACTCTACATTCAAACATGAATGGAACAGAAAAAACAAACATGGGGTCGATTACAGCTTCAGCTGTTCTGAAACTCAAATCATTTCTTTTTATGAGGAAACTGAGATACCAAAGCACCACTAGGGTTGCACAACTCCTGCACAGATCAGACTCTCCTATTGAATTTTGGAGCAACAGATTTCCCCAGTGAGGGCTGAACAGAAGCCAGGCCAATTGATGCTGCAGCATAAAGCAGCTGACCTCCTTTAAAGAGGTATTGATCCTCAGATAAACACAGAGGAAAAAACCTCTGAAAGCAGCCTGTGCTAGAAAACAGAGCAACATGAGGAGTGAAAGGAGGGATTGAACAGGCAGTACGGTGATTCCTCTGAGCGCCAGCACGGATCAGCTTCATCCTGTCTGGTTCCACTCACCAAGTCTTCTTACTACCAAGAGGTTTTGCTGCATTAACTGCATGAAAACTGAGAGAAAAACAACTTCTTATGCTGAAAAGATCCTAGAGCCAGTTTGTGGCACCAGCTTCCTATACCCCATTTACACTACCCT